AATTCCAATTTAAGAAGTAGTATTTAAAGAATCCCAAGCACTATTCCACAGAATTATTAGTTAGAAACCACCTGAATGCTTGTGGACCCAATCCACCAAATGGCTGCTATCTTGGGGCCTAGCAGGGTTTGATTTTAATAGAGACTTTGAAGACACCCACATATATTACACAATCAGGGCCCTGAACAGGACTGCCTTGATTGCCAGGCAACCAAGTTCTACGGATACCAAGATGACATATAAAACGTGTGCCGTCAACTGCAATTGCCAAGTAAAACTTTCAGTCACAGGCATCTAGACATTTGGGTGGTATTATAAAACATCTGAAAGTTTTTCTTTACTAAATTATAATCCTCAAGATTGTGATAATGGCTAATGTTTGACTATTTATTATGCACTAGGAAACTATCCGCTCCTTGCCCCCATCTCTCTCTCTCTCTCTTCCTTTCTCTTAAAATAACCTTGTAAGGTAGGTATTTTTGTCCCTAATTTTAAAATATGGAAACTGAGACTTACTTTAATAAACTGTCCAAGATCATAGCTAACAAATTAATAGAAAGTAGCGGAGGCTGAACTCACACATAGATCTAACTTACTGCAAAACCTGTATTTTTACCAGCCAGGCTAAAGACTATAAAAGTCTTTAGAATAACTGCTTTAGAAAAAATTCTGCAAAACCAACTCTATTTCACTATAAAATGAAATATTTCATCAGGGACTTTTTTCTTCCTAAACTACCTTTTTCACAGAAAGTACATCTTTTGTGTAAAATCTATAAAATAATTTATTCTGGTTCATTCAGCAAGTTATCACCAAAGTTTGATACTGCTTATCAAAGTTGTAAGGTGATTAATGTCAAATCTGAAAACAAAATAAGATGGCTGATACAGACTGAGTAAAGTTGGGGGAAAAGTTCTTTTATTTTTAAATTAAATTATTCTTTTCGTAGCAGCTGATGAGTTCATGAAGTAAAGTAAAAAGCTGCATCAAAAAGCCTTAAGCCCATAAATTCTAACTCCCTTCTCTGTTGATCTGACTTCATCAGAGGTCACTTACAACCTGGGCTCAGATGCTTTAATCATAAGACAAACTATGTAGCCCAAATTATATAACACAGAGTCTTTCTAGGCCGATAGCCTGAAGCACTCCTCCAGTCAATTAATTTTAACAACATTCTATAAGGCAAATAGGGAGAGTAAGAACATCACTATCACATGCAAAAGAGCCTGCCAGAAGAATGTTTTTAAGTATATGCCCTCTATTCTGTGAGGTATTCCTAGTCCTTTTTCTCTTTTTTTTTTTTTTTTGCGGTACACGGGCCTCTCACTGTTGTGGCCTCTGCCTTTGCGGAGCACAGGCTCCGGACGCACAGGCTCAGCGGCCATGGCTCACGGACCCAGCCGCTCCGCGGCATGTGGGATCTTCCCGGACCGGGGCATGAACCCGTGTCCCCTGCATCGGCAGGCAGACTCTTAACCGCTGCACCACCAGGGAAGCCCCCTAGTCCTTATTTTCTTTAACAATTATTATTCATGTCACATTTTTTAAAATGTCACAGTATGAAGCCATCTATTACATTGAAATGGTGAAAGGGAAGGATGGAGAGATAGGGAACAAATGAACATGGATTTGTAAACACTGTCCTAGGAGTTTTAAACCTTAAACGACCCCTAAAGGAGACTGTTCTGAGACTTCCACAGATCTTTCTCCATTTATATAATAATAATGCTCTCCTCCCACTAGCACCATGATTTTGAAGTACAGTATATTTGAGGTATCATGTAATCCTCACACCAACCTGTGAACTCTTATCACCTTTTTACTGAAAGGAAAACTAAAGTTTGGAGATGTTATACATTAATTGCCCAAGCTGGTGCAGCTCATAAGTGAGAAAGCTTTCTGAAACTGGGTTTCCCAGACTCAGATCTCTTGCTGCCTCCCAACTAGCAATACTAGAAATGTTTAGTTTGAACATAAGTATCTGGCTTTGTCTGCGAGGCTCTTTGTATAAGGTTGTCCCATTTGTGATTTGATTCAAGTAAACTAACACATACTAAGCTTCTATTAAGGTTCAGTGAATACAGAAATGACAAATACAATCTTTACACTCAAAAGCCTTCTCATCTGGTATAGAAGATACATAAACCAGGAACTACAATCTAAATTACTCCCTTACTGTGCTCATTATGCCTTCCTGAAAATGGGTGTGAATGTGCAAACTAGTGAACTGGACACTTTAGGTGAATTGTATGGGATGTGAATTATATCTCAATACAGCTGCTATTAAAAAAAATGAATTAAAAAAACATTAAAAAATTTATGTTAAGGAAAGGATTCTTGTCTCCAGAAAACCTAAGATAATCACAAAATAATTACTTACCCTTGATCTTGGACGTGACTTTTAATAATACAATCTCAGCATTTTGGGATATTGCTTTTGCACAAAATTATTAACCTCTAATCAATAAACATCCAACCAAAGTTATGGTGCTTTACATGTAGCATTTCTAATTTCATTGTTGTTTCAAACAAATGTTATATTTTTTTGAGATTTACATTTCCTAACATAAATATTATACTTAGTTGTCTAAAATTACTACTTCTTTTTTAAAGCAAAGGTAACATAAAATAAAACATCCAATAGTTGCACAAATGTTATATAAATAAAGATAGAGGCCCTGTCCAAACTAAATGTGCACTGGTGGGCAATGCCACTGTGGAATGGTTCCAAATAGTCAAGTTCCTCTGAAATGCGGGCAGGAGCGGCTCCTTGCCCATTGCGCAGCCCTCTGATCCAGTGTGAACTTTTCATTTTACAGGTGAGGACAACGAAACAGGAAGGTGTTGACCTCTTAAAATATTCCCAAAATCACATAGAAAAGGATCACAAACAGAAGTCTCTACTGCTTTTTCTACTACGACACTCAGTTGGGATTAACTGGTAAAGTCTTCACTGATACAACACATAGTTGTTAAGTAGTTTCTATTTTCTAGGCTTCATTCTAGGCAATATAGATATGTTGATAAAAATTACAGGCAAAAAATTTGCACTGTGGCAAGGGAGACAGATAAGAAGTAAGCCTGAGTAAACAAGTAAATAAAGGATAGTAATTAGTTGCTATGCAGAGGATTAAGATAAGGTTATTCATGGGGGTGACTTTAGCTCCTGAGCCCTACATGGCTGCTTGTGAAGAGTGGTGGGAAGAGAAATCCAGGCAGTAAACAAGCTGATGAAAAGGTTGTGGTTGGTAGGAGGCAGAGGTAGAGAAAGCAGGATTGACCAATACAATGGAGACGGAACGCTTCACTGCAGAATAAGGAGTTTGCATCTCTGAGCAAGTTCTGGTAAAATTTTAAGGATAAGTCCTAATTTATCTAATTAGGTGGTAGACCCAGACTTTACCAGAAAATCAGGTATTAAAATCTATTGTGTACCTTCTTTTTCAAATAAGGAAAAGTACTGTATCTTTCCTCTGTGTGCCCTAGCAAGAAGCTTACATTTCAGCAACACTAAGAAAAAAACAGTGGCACAACGAGCACAAACTCAATCAGCCATCTTCCACTCTGCGGTCCCAATGCCTGTTCTAAGCTGCCAATCTGAACAGGACATGTCCCTCCTGAAATCCCTTTATGGTCTGTCATTTTTCTTAGCAGAGAGTCAAACTCCTCATCATGCCACAAGGCAGCACATGCTGGTCCCTGCCAATTTCTCCAGCCTCACTTCCTGCTACCTGTTGCTCACAGGACCAGCTGAGTTCTCTTCTCAAATGAACCTTGTGCTCACTCTACTTGTTAATGCTTTGTCCTTGACCAGGACAAGACAGAGATTCTTCTTGTTCAACTCTTCCCAAAGTGAACTCCTACTTATTCTTCAGGTCTTTGTCAAGATAACACTTCCTCAGAGGAAGTTCCTCTAGAAAACCTGCCTTGCCCCCTTGTCCTAAGTCTGACTTAGGAGCTTCACCTCCAGATATTCCATCATCTTTAGCACTGACCACCCCCATGTTGCGACCGTCTACATATTTGCAGCTGTCCTGCATAATCTTGTTGAGGGCAGGGACCATAGCTGTCCTGTTCATTGTTGTATATTCCATACTGAGTGCAGTCTGGGCATTTAGCATCTAGGGGCTTAATACATAGTGAACAAGTGCAAAGAAAACTTTCTACTAGGTTTTAAATTCCTAGAGAGCAGGAACCCTAGGCTGGTTAAACATACTACCTCCAACTCTAAACACAAGATGAGTGATCAAAGAAATTTATAGTTTTTCAACTGAGAGCTGCATTTCCCGTGCTTTACATTCTATGATTTGAGTATATTGAAAGTGGAGTTTCTGGTGAAGAGCCTGCCATTGTCTTTGCACCAGCTTTGGCCATATTTTAACATGCCCTGCCATCAGATACCATTTCTAAGTCTAGGTAGACAAATATCTGAACTAATATTACTCATCTACCCTCTCAATATGGTCTGACTTATGCCATAAGTATTTATGCCATAAAGTATTCCTGCATCTAAACTTTGTCCTACATATGAAATACTCACTATTATCCTGCAACTTAGACCATTTGATTTAAAATGCATTTCTTCAGGGCTTTTAAATACTTTGCGATCTTTATCTTTCCACAATGTGGAAATAAGTTTCAGAACTAAACTGATCATAGTGATCGATGTTTTGATGCAACAGTTCCTTACATTTAAAATCAAGAGGGCTTCCCTGGTGGCGCAGTGGTTGAGAGTCCGCCTGCCGGTACAGGGGACGCGGGTTCGTGCCCCGGTCCGGGAAGATCCCACATGCCGTGGAGCGGCTGGGCCCGTGAGCCATGGCCGCTGAGCCTGCGCGTCCGGAGCCTGTGCTCCGCAACGGGAGAGGCCACAACAGTGAGAGGCCCGCGTACCGCAAAAAAAAAATAAAATAAAATAAAAAATAAAATAAAATCAAGAACACAAAATCAAAATTTAACTAAAACGTATACTCTTAATAAGTTTAAATATTTGTACCTACCTTCTAGTGCATCTTTCATATCCTGAGCAAAAAGGGTCCACATAATTTCAGCACTTATTTTTCCCATGTTCAGTTCTTGAGGAAACCTAAAAGCAAACACATATATTAGTAGATCAAAAAGAAAAATGTACCTGAAAAAAAACGCTTCACATTACACAGACACCACAGTAATTATTACATAGTTTATAAATACTTTTACTTATGAGATTTCTCTTTATAAATTTTCAGGGGTAGGGAAAAAATGCTGAACACCAGAGTGTGGCAATAAAGACAATTATTGGGTGAAAGGAAAACAGACTTCATTACATCAGTGCGAATGTAATGTTGCTCAGGGTTCCTGATGGATGTCTTATGCTGTGTGTTTGCTTGCGTCTAAAGAGTCCCTTTAGTTTTATCAAACACTTTGTCTTCATATGTCTCAATCTGAGGATAGGCCAGATGAATCTGAGGAGCAGATACCATATAACAGCAAAAACCACAGCTCGCATTCATCTGTCAGCCATTTTTCTTGAAGCAAACTTGAGTGCTTCCATTCTCTATTTGCTTAAAGCAAATTATTTCAAGAAAGATTCCTCACTCCTCTGGTAAAATGGCCCATGGTGGACCCATTAATCAGGACTCCAGAACTACCAGGCAGGCTGTGTATTTTAGATCAAACAAGCTTAAGCCAAAGACAAGATTCCTACTGCTGCTGAATATGTATTCTGTTTGTATGTGTTTTCAATCTCATAATAAGCCCAGTGAAAATAATTTCATTCATTTCATTTCATTGTAAATAGCCCATGCCAACATGCAAGACTGAAAGTATTTTCTGTTCTAACAAATATATATTATATATTTTATGCATTGAATATATTATTTATAAAGTACATGCATATAAATGTTTATATACATATATACAAGCTAACATATTAAGGAAATATATATATATATACACATATATATGTAAAGTAACAATAACCCTCACATTCATTTATTTTTTATTTTTTTTATTTATTTATTTTTTTTGCGGCATGCGGGCCTCACACTGTTGTGGCCTCTCCTGTTGCAGAGCACAGGCTCAGTGGCCATGGCTCACGGGCCCAGCCGTTCCGTGGCATGTGGGATCTTCCCGGACCGGGGCACGAACCCGTGTCCCCTGCACCGGCAGGCGGACTCTCAACCACTGCGCCACCAGGGAAGCCCTATTTTTTATTTTTAAGATTTTTTTGATGTGGACCATTTTTTTTTCTTTAAAGTCTTTATTGAAAGTTAAGACTTTGTCTTCCTATGCAGGGGGTACAGGTTCAATCCCTGGTCAGACAACTAAGATCCCACATATCTCACAGCCAAAAAACCAAAACATAAAACAGAAGCAATATTGTAACAAATTCAATAAGGACTTCACATTCATTTATATCTTTGAGTCCAAATCAAAAAAAGAGAAGAGTAATATAACCCTGAATGGGATAGAAAGGGTTACTTAAGTAAATATGACCTCAGTATAACCTCAACGAAGAAAAGACCACATATCCTACATACTATTTCACCAAAGCACACGTGTTTCATCAAATATCCCTTACTAATTTCCATCTATCAATTTATCTAATAATGTCAACTGATACTTTAAAACTTAAATGTGGATGCATTATTATTAAGTATTAAAACAGAACACTTCCTATGATCAAAAAATAAATATAACCTAGATATATACAAAATCAGTTTTCAACAATAAATTTTACCCCCTTTATATAAAAATAAACTTTAGCAAGTAATGTTTCATTTGTGGATAGCTACGAACATCCCATATATGTAGTATATTAACTTTTATGTAATAGATACACAGCAATAAAATTGTAAGTGATATAATTACAGTGATTTTAGCTACTAAAATGAGGAAATCTATTATTTTAATTTTTTGAATCCAGAATAAAGAATGTATTAATTCAGTTTATGGTGCTCTGATATAAAAAACAAAGACATTGGGATACCTTCAAGATGGCGGAAGGGTAAGATGTAGAGATCACCTTGCCCCGCAACAAATACATCAGAAATACATCTACATGTGGAACAGCTCCTACAGAACACCTGCTCAACGCTGGCAGACCTCAGACCTCCCAAAAGGAAAGAAACTCCCCACGTACCAGGGTAGAGCAAAAGAAAAAACAGAGACAAAAGAATAGGGACGGGACCTGCACCTCTGGGAGGGAGCTGTGAAGGAGGAAAGGTCTCCACACACTAGGAAGCCCCTTCGCGGGCAGAGATTGCGGGAGGCGGAGCGGGGAGCTTCGGAGCCGCGGAAGAGAGCGCAGCAACAGGGGTGCGGAGGGCAAAGTGGAGCGATTCCAGCACAGAGGATCAGTGCCGACCGGCACTCACAGCCCGAGAGGCTTGTCTGCTCACCCGCCAGGGCGGGCGGGGCTGGGAGCTGAGGCTCGGGCTTCAGAGGTCGGATCCCAGGGAGACGACTGGGGTTGGCGGCGTGAACACAGCCTGAAGGGGTTAGTGCACCACAGCTAGCCGGGAGGGAGTCCAGGAAAAAGTCTGGAGCTTCCAAAGAGGCAAGAGACCATTGTTTCAGGGTGTGTGAGTAGAGGGGATTCAGAGCACCGCCTAAGTTTGAGCTCCAGAGATGGGCGTGAGCCGCGGCTATCAGCGTGGACCCCAGAGACGGGCATGAGATGCTAACACTGCTGCTGCAGCCACCAAGAATCCTGTGTGCAAGCAAGGTCACACTCCACACCTCCCCTCCCGGGAGCCTATGCAGCCCGCCACTGTCAGGGTCCCGGGATCCAGGGACAACTCCCCCGATGGAACACACGGTGTGCCTCAGGCTGGTGCAACGTCATGCTGGCCTCTGCCACTGCAGGCTTGCCCCGCATCCATAGCCTCCCACGCCCCGGCCTGAGTGTGCCAGAGCCCCCCAATCAGCTACTCCTTTAACCTTGTCCTGTCTAAGCTAAGAACAGATGCCCTCAGGCTACCTACACGCAGAGGCAGGGCCAATCCAAAGCTGACCCCTGGGAGCTGTGCGAACAAAGAAGAGAAAGGGAAATCTCTCCCAGCAGCCTCAGGAGCAGTGGATTAAATCTCCACAATCAACTTGGTGTACCCTGTATCTGTGGAATACCTGAATAGATAACGAATCATCCCAAAATAGAAGTGGTAGACTTTGGGAGCAACAGTATATATATATTTTTCCTTTGTCTCTTAGTGAGTGTGTATGTGTATGATTATTTGTGTGATTTTCTCTGCATAGCTTTGTTTTTACCATTTCTCCTAGAGCTCGGTCTGTCCATTTTTTTTTTTTCTCTTAGTATAGTTTTTAGCACTTGTTACCATTGATGGATTTGTGTTTTGGTCTGGTTGCTCACTTCTTATTTTCATTCTTTATTTTTTCTTTTTTTATTACTTTTGAATTTTTAAATTTTAAATAATTTTTTATATCAATAACTTTATTTTATTTTATTACTATTCCTTATTTATTTCTTTTTTTTTCTCCCTTTTCTTCTGAGCCGTGTGGCAGACAGGGTCTTGGTGCTCCAGCCAGGTGTCAGGCCTCGGCCTCTGAGGTGAGAGAGCCAAGTTCAGGACACTGGTCCACTAGAGACCTCCTGGCTCCATGTAATATCAAATGGTGAAAGCTCTCCCAGAGATCTCCATCTCAACGTGAAGACACAGCTCCACTCAACAACCAGCAAGCTACAGTTCTGGACACCCTATGCCAAACAACTAACAGGACAGGAACACAACCCCACTCATTAGCAGGGAGGCTGCCTAAAATCATAAGGTCACAGACTCCCCAAAAGACACCACTGGACGTGGTCCTGCCCACCAGAAAGACAAGATCCAGGCCCGTCCACCTGAACACAGGCACAGCTCCCCTCCACCAGGAAGCCTACACAACCCACTGAACCAACCCTGGCCACTAGGGGCACAAACCAAAAACAACGGAAACTACGAACCTGCAGCCTGTGAAAAGGAGACCCCCAAAACAGTATATGAAGCAGAATGAGAAGACAGAGAAACACACAGAAGATGAAGGAGCAAGGTAAAAACCCACCAGACCAAACAAATTAAGAGAAAATAGGCAGTCTATCTGAAAAAGAATTCAGAGTAATGATAGTAAAGATGTTCCAAAATCTTGGAAATAGAATAAATACAAGAATCATTTAACAAGGACCTAGAAGAACTAAAGATGAAACAAGAAACAATGAACACAATAAATGAAATTAAAAATGCTCCAGAAGGGATCAATACCAGAATAACTGAGGCAGAAGAATGGATAAGTGACCTGGAAGATAAAATAGTGGAAATAACTACTGCAGAGCTGAATAAAGAAAAAAGAATGAAAAGAATTGAGGATAGTCTCAGAGATCACTGGGACACATTAAACGCACCAACATTCAAATTATAGGGGTCCCAGAAGAAGGAGAGAAAAAGAAAGTCACTGAGAAAATATTTGAAGAGATTATAGTTGAAAACTTCCCTAATATGGGAAAGGAAATAGTTAATCAAGTCCAGGAAGCACAGAGAGTCCCATACAGGATAAATCCAAGAAGAAACACACCAAGACACATATTAATCAAACTATCAACAATTAAATTCAAAGAAAAAATATTAAAAGCAGCAAGGGAAAAACAACAAATAACATACAAGGGAATCCCCATAAGGTTAACAGCTGACCATTTAGCAGAAACTCTGTAAGCCAAAAGGGAATGGCAGGACATATTTAAAGTGATGAAGGAGAAGAAACTGCAACCAAGATTACTCTACCCAGCAAGGATCTCATTCAGATTTGATGGAGAAATTAAATCCTTTACAGACAAGCAAAAGCTGAGAGAATTCAGCACCACCAAACCAGCTTTACAACAAATGCTAAAGGAACTTCTCTAGGCAGGAACCACAAGAGAAGAAAAAAACTTACAATAACAAACCCCAAACAACTAAGAAAACGGTAATAGGAACATACATATTGATAATTACCTTAAATGTAAATGGATTAAATGCTCATACCAAAAGACATAGACTGGCTGAATGGATACAAAAAGAAAACCCATATATATGCTGTCTACAAGGGATCCACTTCAGACCTAGGGTCACATAC